TTCTTCTTCTTCTTCTTCTTCTTCTTCTTCTACTTCCTGTACACTTGGCTCGGCGCTCGGTGAGATGTGCAGGCTCTAAGACACAATTACAGAAGTGGATTTACAAATTTAGACGAAGTCAATTTAACCCATGGTCTATTATATTTGGATTTAAACCCGCCGTCTTAAGCGCTACTGTTCAATTGATTTATTAGGCTAATCTTTTGTGTTTAAGTTGAGTGAACATTGTTGCATATTTTGGTGTTTTGGTTTCAGATTATTACGTTGGTCTTGTGGGCGGACGGCGTAATCGGCAAAAAGCCAATCATCCGTCGGACAGTTCTCTTGTGGCTCGGTTATACTGCGTTCTGGCTTTCTTAAACCTCAATTATATTAGTGTTCCACATTACCATGAGTTTTCTGTCAAGGATTGGTAGGCTGCTCGCCCTTTAACTTTAATTTTCTAGAGGATCCATTCTCGGAGTACACATGGCCCCGATTAATCTACAGCGCTCTGCGTGTTCCTGCCTATCACGTTTATTTTGAGTTGCTGCTGATCGCTGGTATCATATGGCTTTTGTTTAAAAGGAGCTACAATATTCGTGAGAAATTTGCACTATCTGCAGTGGAGAAACAACGACTTATTGAGGAGTGGGAACCAAAGCCTCTTGTGCCCGAAAAATGGACACCTCCCGCAAAGGTCATGGAACGTTACCATCGCAACGCTGTTGGTGTTCTAGGAAAGTGCGTCCATGTTGGGAACTCACTTCTTTTCTCGAGTTACTCTTTATCCATTAGGGATTGTCTGATTAATATATATTCCCATGTGACTGTACGCGTTAGATGCGCCCTCAACTTCCGCCGGCGCGACTTCTAAGTTAGGGGGGGGAGCATTTCTTGAAATAAGGATGCATTTAAGGCAAAATACGACTTTGCTTCCTTTGTAGCCTTTGCAGGCTAGACATCATCTTGAAAACATAAAAAACTAACTAGCACATGCATGCACTGTATTTTATTCTCAACTTTGCTTGTTGTGTGGACAACAGGTGTTAGCACCAAATTTAACAGTCGATTTGTTCTTGGGGTGAATGTAAATACTTTTTTTTTCATCTGAAAATGCATGCAACATAAAATGGTACTTTTATATAGTGAGAGGGCACATCCAGTGAAATCGAATATGGCTTATAAAAATCAGCCCCGCTATGCTTTTCTATTACAATGAGCTTCGCTTCCTGCGTTTAAATTTAACTTTTCAGCGCATTAGAATACTTATATTTAGTAGTTGCTTTTCCATGTTTTTCGCCTTTTATAAGTGTATGAGAATACAGAGTAAAGCGCTTTTGTGACTGGGATTTAGTGGTCTACGGGGGCTCTCAGACAGTTTGCTCAAATAAGAGTTGAGATGGGTATAAACCGTCTGACAGGTATTTCCTGCTGAGTGTCAGTTGATGATCCCTAACGACGCCATACTTTTTTCCTCAAGCGTTTTTAGAAATCACTTTAGCAGTCGATCTTAGGCCGAAAGACCTAAAAGTTATCCTTAGGTAGGGACGTCGAACTGGGTTAGAATATTTTGAAGAATGCGCTAGTTATCGGGCTTCACAAGCGGTTTCACTTAGGGACCGGCGGTTCCAGCGCCCTTACAGGGGTTTCCTTGTTATGCCACAACTGCGACAGTCGTTTTTGTCTCTTTATCGTCTCTT